TGTATGTGTGGTGTGTGTGGTGTGTGTGTGTGATGTGCATTGTGTGTGGTGTCTGTATGTGTATATGTGTGGTGTATATGTCTGTTTGTGTGTGTGTGTGTGCAGTGTTTGTGTGTGGTGTATATGTCTGTGTGTGTGTAGTGTGTGTAGTGTGTGTGGTGTGTATGTCTGTCTGTGTGTGTGGTGTGTATGTCTGTCTGTGTGTGTGTGTAGTGTGTGTGTGGTGCGTGTGTGTGGTGTGTGTATGGTATGTGTGTGTCGTGTGTGTGTAGTGTGTGTGGTGTGTGTTGGTGTGTATGTGTGTGTGTGGTGTGTGTATGGTGTGTGTGTGTGGTGTGTGTGGTATGTGTGTGGTATGTGTATGGTGTGTGTATGTGTGTGTGTGTGGTGTGTGTATGGTATGTGTATGTGTGTGATGTGTGTGTGTGGTGAATTTGTGTATGCATGTTGTACAGAGGGAAGGAAGAGGAGTGAACAAGACAGCAGTGGGTCAGAGGATAGGGTCTGATGAGTTCAGAGGGGCTCTGTGTGTAAAGCAATATTTCTCTGTTTTATTTTTCCTTCCCGGCTTTGCCACGAGTCTCTTCCGCACTTGGTCACATGAACAGAATTAGGAGCACGTTCTCACTCAAGCACACCACAGAGGACACGAGGAAGCAGAGAGCAGGCCAGGTGTGCTGAAGGTCACACTTTCTGGTGTCACCGCCCCCACCGAGTTTCAGCCTCCCACCCCGGCCTGTGAAAAGCACAGCGCAGGGGCTGGGATTACCAACCACAAAACTAACACCGAGACTCGAAGCCGAGCTTTCTGACTGACGGGAGACGCTGTCCTCAGAGATGCCCGTCCCTGCTGCCCCCCTCTCACTCAGACCCGAAGGCAACCCCTAAAATTTCATCTAAATTTAAAAACCAAAACACAGGAAGTGTGAACTCTAAACTGCAAGATCATGACATCCCCTGACTGAGTTCCTAGTACTTAGAGTGCCCAGGTACATGCCCAGCACTCATTCAATAACTGATGACCAAATAAACTTCTGAGGAACATTTTAATCCTGAAAGAACTTAGAATTTGAAGCTGATAAACTTTGTATTTTAGCTTTGTAAAAAACCCTATTTTAGCTTTTTCCCTTCTGACAGCTTTCTGTTTAGCATCCCGTCTCATTTCTTTGTAGGCTATCTGGTTTTGTATTTGATTTTATTTTATCTTGTGTTTGTTGTGAATTTTTTGTTTAATCACACCCTAGAACTCTTCTTATTCAGAATGTATGGAAATCCTATTGAATATTGCTACTTAAAGTAGCTTTATAGCTACTTCTTAAATACTATTCGATAAATCTCTAGATTCTGGTAGGGGTCTTTATGCTTTATTTTACAGTATTTGCATATAGTAGGGTCATTTTAAAGTGCATCTAGGCAGAAATAGTCAAAGGTGGAATTATGAATTATTTACATACAACGAAAGCATTACAAATGGAAGTATACAAAAGTATCGGCTACAATGTGAATTTAAATGCATTTATGAAAAAGAAAAAATTAAAAAGGAACCATATGAATGAAGGTAGAAAAATTACACAAGAGCAAGCTTGATATATACCACCAATAGTCTGCACAATTAAAGACATATAAACTCCATAGTTCAGAAATTCTAGCACTAGGTATGTAGAGTAGAGAATGTCGTACCATGGACCAAGGGTTGCATGCAAGATGTTCATATATTATATCTGAAGTAGAAAAGGAACATGGTAAATATATCAGGTGTCTACTACCATAAAACGAAAATTTGATACAGTTGTATATAGAATACAGTGTAGTAATACAAGTGGATATTGCAACCAAGGTTGGTGATGATGAATCTTGGGAACTACGAAACATCATTGAAGTGTAAAAACAATGTGATCTCACCTATGTGAGATTCAGTAGGCCACAAGCCAACTCTTTATGGCTCAGGAATGCTAGCATACAAGGAAAAACTGTAACGAAATGGAAGAGACTGCTAAATATCATCGTTCTCTGGGTGGGGAGAGAGCAGATTGGAGTTAAGGGGGAAATACAGAAGTTTTCAGGAAATAGAATGTCAGCAAAGCTTTAGAGAGCCATCCATGGTGTTTTGTATTCCAAAGAGTGGACAGATGCCAAACTGCGTGGTATCATTTGACTATTCAGACTGAACCAATAAGCTTTGTACATTCAGATTCATGTCTTTTTCTAAATGGTCCAGAAACAATCATAATGTAATCAGAGCAGGGAAGCAGTTCACATGAAGGGCCAATTTATTATGTAAATTTGCAAGAAAGCGTGCTATTTGATTCTTTGCTATGAGTTGTGTTGGTGTGCCATGGGCATGCATCTGTAAGGCTATTCTATTATCCATCCTGCATCTTTTGGAGGGAACAGGGCTTATACTAACTTAGTCATAAAGCAGCATCTTGATCATCCTAACTATAAAAAACATTTTATTGGTCTAGCATAGCCTCAGTATCTGTAAAGTGATGTCTACCGAAAGCAACCTAAGGTTTTTATCCCCAGCCATAGTGTTCAGTAAAGGGCCAGAGCTGGGTTGAAGAAAGTAAAGATGCTTGTTGTCAAGTGTGCCAACCTCATTCATTCCTGAAACCTATGTGGAAGAAGGAAATAATCAACTCCCGAAGGCTGTCCTCTGATCTCCACATACACAGCGTGACTCACTTAATTCACAAAATTACATGTGCGTCCTATACAAAGAATAAAGAATAACTATTTTGAAAGACACTCAGGCATAAACGTTCTCAAATATTGTATTACCATTTGGACCCTCGTGAAAATTTCCACTTGATAAAATCTAAGCAATTGAGAATAAATTGTAATTTTTAAGTTTTATGAATGATGAATCAATAGTAAAAAGCTCTCATGTACACCAAATCCAATTAAATATAAAGCTAAAGGAATACAGTTTGACAGAAGAATGGGAAAGTAGAACTAACAAACATGGGGGCGGGTAACAGGTGGACAACAATTTCTTCTCATTCAATGTCTTTAAGTCAACAGATAACTGTTCAAAAGTCAAAATGTAGTCTGACACAGTACATATATTGTACCCATTTTAGGTTTTCCATAGTTTTGTTAACCTGAGTGCACTTTTTTTTTTTGGGGGGGGAGTCTTTCTGGAAGTAAGAAAGCACTTATCTGGTAAACACCAATAAAAGTTAAAAATTATTTTCAGAGGCACATATAATAGCATTCCACTTTTACTCCAAGCAATCCTATATTGGCGTTCATTTATTAAAGTTATCTGTTGAGGCCTCTTGTGTGCCCAGGCACTATGTAGGCATTGCGGCTAGACAACTAAAGGGAACAAAGTCCTTCCCTTGTTGGAGAGTATGGTCTTCAGACAAGAAATAGACAGATGCAGAAATTACAGGCTGGGGGTGGTGGCACATGCGTCTCGTTCCAGCACTCGGGAGGCAGAGGCAGGTGGATCTCTGAGTTTGAGGCCAGCCTGGTCTACAGAGTGAGTTCCAGAACAGTCAGGGCTACACAGAGAAAGCTTGTCTCAAAATACAAAAAAAAAAAAGTTCATTTATAAAAAGATGAAAAGAGAAGGGAAATGAAGGGAAGGGAAGGATGAAGAATATGGGGAGTTTGTGGTACGTGTGTGTGTGTGTGTGTGTGTGAGAGAGAGAGAGAGAGAGAGAGAAGGAGATGGGGGAGGGAGGGTAGGAGGAAGGGGGAGAGAGAGAGATGGGAGAAAGAGAGGAGGAGGAGGAGATGAGGGAGAGAGAAGAGGAGAGGAGGGGGAGGGAGGATAGGAGGGAGAGAGAGGTGGAAGAGAGAGAAAGAAAGAGAGAGGAGAGAGAGAGAGCGAGAAGAAGGGATAACTTCTGTCTGTGTATGCACATGATGTACGGAGACAAGAGTAAGAGCAGGGCAGGTGGTAGTTAGAATTCACTCTACTGAGCTATCTGCAAATACCCATGTACAGATAAGTGTTGAATTGATGCTCATCAAATATTAGCATGCTTATTTCCAAGAAAGGCTTTGGATTGTTTCTAGCTTTCTTCGTAGCTTTCTCTATTGTTTCCATTTTTATTATGAATGTGCACCATCCTATCTGAGGGAGAAAGAAAGGAAGTTGAATAAAAAAAAAACCCAGAAAGTCCAAGAATAGCAACATTAGAAATCATGGTTTTGGGTAATGAGTCAAGCGAAAAGAAAACTTAGACCCTTGCAGAAGCCCACATGTGATTCCCAACAGCGACTTCATTTAGAATGAATGAGTGCACTGAAATGTTATTTCTTGATTAATCAATCTATCACACCATAAATAGGGACTTCAAAGGCTTGCAGCAAGGTGGAAGAAGCCAATCATTTAAAAAGCCACAAACTGTATGTTTCCAATGTGAGACATTAAAGAAGAGGCAAGCTTCGGGGAGGAAACGGCCGCTAATTTCAGGCAAGCAGTGTGAAGTCAGGGATGGAAAATGGCTGAAGGGAGCCCAGGAGACTGCCGTACTGCGAAACTCTTAAAATGTTGGCGTGGTAGGTGGATGGCATTGTATTCGTTAAAATACATAGAATCACACTTCATTCATCCTAATTAACCCAGGGACTTGAAGCTAACAATAATATATCACCATTATGCCATCAATTATAACATCCATGATGCTTACACTTACAAACGAGAATACCAGCTCATTGTTACACAGGGTCTTGACGAAGGCACAGAAGGGTCAGAGGACAGCCATGGAGAGCTGCTCTTTTAAATTTGTTTCCATTAAATTTGGTGGCAATTAGGAAGTAAGTCACATGAGTAACACATACACACCTCACTTTCATTGACTCTTAGACAAAAATTCTTAAGAGAAAGCAATAAAAGTACTAAACAGGAAAAAATTTAAATGGTGAAGAAACAAAAAAAATACCTTAAATATGCTTTGAAAGTAATCTAAGGGTACATATTCAAATTCTCTCCCAAATTTAACACTTGTAGATCCATTTTTTTAAAAAGTGGAATGTTTTCTTACCTGAAGAACCTTTCTAATCCTCTTTAGGTTGTGGATCAACAGCAGGTTTTTCTCTTTGGAAACACGACCTAACTGTTCATCCAATTGTATTAATAAGTTTTGAAGAAGAATTGTTGCCATAGTTTCATTGTTAGAAGCCACTTCCCTAAAATAAATCAAAATATTGAAGGTGTTACGGCTCATTATAAACAACTAATATCATATACATTTTAAAATGTCCAATTTATTCCGCAGTGATAAGCACTGAAGCATTTTAAAAGTTAAATTGAATACATAAAAAAACTTCAGCATCACTAATCATTAGAGTTTTATAAATTAAAACTATGGTACGATAGCACTTCATCCTCATTGGAATGGTTGGCTATTGCTAAGAAAAATCAAAATGAAAGTCAGAATATGAGTTTTGGCAAGAATAGTAAGAAATCAAAGTCCTTAAATAATGCTAAGTGGGATATAGAGTGGAACTGTGGATACTTCAGCAGTCACTAATAACACACACACACACACACACACACACACACACACACACACACTTGCCAGATGACCCCACAGCTCATGAGACCACGCACTGGCATATGGCCACTCCTGGCAACGGCCTAAAGGCAGAACACCCAATATGTCCATCAGTAAGTACACGGCTCCGATCATGCACAGTGTATCCACACAGTAGAATACAATTCTGCTTCATAGCTGAATAAAATTCTGGCACATGCAGTGGCAAGAATGAGTCTGGAAAAATGTGGTATTCGTGAAATAAGTCAGTCACTGAGGAAAACCTGTGGTGCCCTCCTACAGGGCACCTCCTATACTCAAATTTGTGCACGAGAGGGAAGGGGGGAGAATAGGTTGGAACTGAGCCTAGCGGGCCAGGGTTACTGTTTAATGGGCCAGGATCTCAGACCGAGAGGGTCACAGGCTGCAGACGGGGGTGATCACGGCAGAACGATGCGTGCGCAGTTCCTGCCCCCAAACTGTACAGTTCAAAGCGGTTAGAATCCTTTGCTCTGTGGTTTATAATTCTGACACAGAAGAAAAGATGACTGAAGCAAAAAGAAAAAATTTGGTTACATAGGGGAAACAGATCTTTGCAAACTGTTCATTAACTGGACAGTTTCACAGTCATATAGGAAAAGGTGTTTTTGATTGATTTCCCATGGCCAAGGTTTGGTATGGTAAACCCTGAGTGTGCTGTTTGCCTTCATCTTAGCTGTAAGTCAAATAAGTTAGCAGCCAGGGACAGGAAAGGAGCTTGTTGAAAATAAAAAGGGAGGTTGGGGGTGCAGGACAGTGTGTGTTCGAGGGAGGTGAATGTTCGCCACAGAAGGCAGAAAGGGGTCCTAAAAAGAATATTTACTGACATCGAGTCTATGATAACAGAATTGACGTGTTTAATGGGTTTGTTTCTGTAGGATTTTTTTCTGTCTAAAATATGATTTGAATAAGAATGGCTTTCACGGGCTTATATGTTTGAATACTTAGCCACCAGGGTGTAGCATTATATGAGAAGGTGAAGAGGTGTGGCCTTGGAGAAGGCATGACTTTCTGGGAGGAAATGTGTCACTGGGTGGTGTAGGAGGGTCTTCTGTCTCTGTGTTACTTTCATTGGTTAAATAAAGAAGCTGCCTTGGCCTTTTGATAGGCCAGCCCTTAGGTGGGTGGAGTAGACAGAACAGAATTCTGGGAGGAAGAAGGCAGTGTGGCAGACGCCATGGCTCTCCCACCTGAGTTGGACATAGGTTAGAATCGTCCCGGTAAGCCATGACATCGTGGTAAACACAGATTAATAGAAATGGGTTAATCAAGTCGTGAGAGTTAGCCAGTAAGAGGCTAGAGCTAATGGGCCAGGCAGTGATTAAATGAATACAGTTTCTGTGTAATTATTTTGGGTAAAGCTAACCGGGAGCCGGGCAGTGGGAATGTAGCCCACCACACCTCATTACAACAACTGGGGGTGGGTTTTGAGGTTTCAAAAGTCCAAGCCAGGCCCAGTCTCTCTCTCTCTCCTCTCTTCTCTCTCTTTCTCTCCTGCAGACCAAGACGTAGCTCCCAGCTTCTGCTTCTGTACCATCTACACCACCATGCTTCCTGCCACAATAATAATAAACTAAGGCTCTGAAACTGTAAGCAAACACCCCCCCCATTCCAATTAAATTCTTCCTTTTGTAAGAGTTGTCTTGGTCACAGTGTCTCTTCATAGCAATAGACCAGGACCCGGGCAGTTGGGATGGGAGATACTTAAAGACATTAAAGACAACGTATGAACTCCAAAAAGTTTTCATCTAAAGTGGACAAAACAAAACTCGCCTTTGAGAAGGAATTCCAAAATCTTGAAGGAATACACACACATACACACACACACAGACACACACACACACACACACGGATATATATATATATATGAATGCATCTACTGAGTCAAAAGCAGGCCACACAGAATAAATTACGTGGCTAGGACACGGCATCCACCCATCTTAGCCTACCAATCTTGATGCTCAATCCACTGGGCCAGTAGATGCCGGATTTCCATAGGAAAGTTGTCATCATAGAATTGATCTACTTGCTCCAAAAACTTGATTTCTAGTTGTTGGACTTGATTCCATTGAGACATGCTATAAAAGAAGGGTAACGTTAGGTTTTTTTTAAAATATTATTCACTGGGAGCCATAAGACAGGTTTTTTGGTTTTTTTTTTTCTTGCCTCGGACCTGAATAAGATGTTAGCTACTAGTTCATGGGAGGGAGGACATCAACTTTCATAGTTTCTCAGAGAAGGAAGGAGAAAACATAGTTAAAGCCCAATGCTCAGCAATTCCTCCTAGCGTTTTCTTGAAAGGTATCCCTAATGCAGGACAGCCGGCTGAGTCTGCCCCCAAACCACATCCTTCCTTGTTCTACCATGACCTCCTATGCTGCTGCTCCGGGAACTCCTACCTCTCCTCCCCAAAAGCCCCATGCCCTACCCCGACTGTCCACATAGCCTCGGTCACAGAATCTGTAATGTCAGCAACCTGCTTCCTTAGCCACCCCTCCTTGAGCAAACCGAAGGTAACCATACTCCCCACACTGACTATACCTTCCCAGGCTTATTCATTCATTTCTTCCCCAGAGTTTCTTTCAGATGGAAAGGGTCAAGCCTGCTTTCTTTATTTCATGCGTGTCTGGGGTCTACAGCCAGCTTCCTGCCCCTGGCTGGAGTCCAATCCCGTGGCAGTTTCCTGAGGGATGGCCCGCATTGACTTCTCCTTGGTTCTAGGCATGTCAGTGCAAAAGGGTTCTAAATTCATAAACATTTTATTTTTCTCTAGGGATTTATGGTTGGGCAAAGCTTTTTATTTATTTATTTTTTTAACGTATGAAGCCTACCTTGCCTCTGACAATGGTTAGGGCCTCACGTTAAAGTAGAATAAACCGTCCCATCTATATAACATGAAGAAACATCATTAGGACATGATACCCTTGAAGTTCCTATATTTTGCTCTTTTGGAATGCAGAATTCTTGAGCAGTAACGTTAAGTCAAGGGAAAACCTCTCACACCGTAACGCAGTATTTTGACACCCGTTGTGGGTACAGCACGCTTCCTCTTGCTTGTAGAACAAACTGAGTATATGCGGTCTTCAGACGTCAGTGGGAACATTTTTATACATTTAAACATTCTTTTCCTTGGGCTCCCACTAAACGCTCTAAAGGTGGGTTGCACTCAGGAGAAAATAGGGAGAGAAGCCATCTAGATCTTGCATATGACCGTGTTCACAAGCGCTCACAACTGACCAGTGTAGGTTAAATCATGAGTGTTCCATAAACGCTTGTTCAGGGACCTACGTGTGGCCCTCCTGAGGGAGCCACGAATTGGCAGGATAGGAAGCATCTATGGGGATGGGACCGCTGTCCACCGTGTGCGACTGACAGACATCCCAGATCTGGGAACAAAAGTGGAGCTTTCTCCTAGCTTACCAACAACAAGGCCCCGGTACACTGACACCCGGCAAGCGGGGGTGGGGGTGCTGGGGACAGCATTGACCACTTTCACTGTTTCTATTACTAAACCCTTTCCACAGTTTGAACGCAAGTCTGTTTTCTAACTAAAAATTTATCCGATGGTTAAATCACTCAGTCGTCACTCTTTCAAACCAAGGCTTGAATGGAGCAGAAGGACCCTCCTCCGCTGGACCAGCCCTGGAGATGAAAGCCTGAAGACCTTGCTGGGTTTGAGTTTGTCAGGAAGTCTCACCTCTGGCTGAGGTGCTAATGCCAGCTTATGGTTGCCGGGCGGGGAGGGGGAGGTCAATTTTCTTCAGGGATGCAGACCCTGAAGTTACCCATGCTCCAGTAGGCAGGCTGACATCCATCACCCGTCACACCGAGGCAGCACTAAGTGAACTCAAGTGGGTTTAAAACCGACACGGAACAGCACATAAAATTGAGAAGAAATACTCTCGGGGAGATGCGAGTAGATTTGCTAATTTACTTTTAAATTTGACTTTTCGAAAACATTAAATAGATGGAAAGAAACATTAAGCGAAACTTGAAGTGAGTAAAAGGTTTTGCTCGTTTGCTTGGTTTGGGTTTTGGGGGTTTGTTGCTGTCATCGTTGTTTTGCTTTTAGACCTCCAGCGGTGTGTCTCTGTTTTCACTCTCTAAGGGACTCACAGTCCTGCGGCAAGACAGGTACTGTCCATCTAAAACCTGGGTGCCTGGCAGCTCCCTCCCAGCATCGGGTCCATCGCCCCGGGAGCCAGCAAGCTTTGCGGTGCTGTCGCTGGCCACTTTGCAGAGGGAGCGGCCCACCCTGAAACGTATTTCACACTTCCCAAACCGCAGTTACCCGCTACCCTAGTTGGGAGCTGCTTCTCTGAAACCCAGTTATGCCCATCTCGGGTCAGACATCACAGAGTTCTCCGCCGGCTACAGAAAATGAAGAGGCCCCCCCAGCAGCCACAGCGCCGCCGCTGCCACAGCCCCCATCCCTCCCACCGCTCAGCTTCAGGACGGCGCGGCTCCCCCTTCCTCCAGGAAGATCCGCGCCAGAATTTCAGCTCTTCGGGAGATGGTTTTTCTGAATGTAAGAAGCAAGACCCTCCCCGGCAAGTTCAAACGAACAACCCGATGCCACCTGCCGAGAATCCCTTCCCCTGCGTAGAGGCCCCACGCAACGCAGGCTGCCGGGCTTACCTGGCTCCCCTCCCTCCGTCCAGGTTAAGTCCAGAGTCAGAACGAGCCTTCAGGGTCCACAGCCACTGACGCCATGCCACTAGGGGATTTGCATCTCTCCACCCACTTGAGGCTTTCCTGTGCGTCAGTGTTCGAGTTTCTGGGACTTTAAGTCGGTTCCCACCCACTCTGGTTTAGAAACGCTTTGCAAAGTCAGACTGAAGCCCACTCTCAGAACACGGCCCCCATCCCTAGTAACGGGGCTGCGCTCGCGAACGCAGAACGGCCCAAAGGTGACAGAAAAATTCTAGTAAGGGTTCCCCACTCTTTTTTTTTTTCAGTCTTTCCCAGACAAGAAGAGATCCTATAGGCTCAAGCTAAAGGCCTGGGATCCCTGTTTTCCTCAGACAAAACCGCACTTTTTCTGGCGGGCTGGGCAACCAGAACCAACACACCAACCTCCCGCAGGTCTGCTCCTTCAGAGGTTTGGGCAGGGTCTGCCCTCTCTGGGCAGCTTCCTCCCACTCTTAGTAACCTTGTCCTCGAACCTGTGGTGTGTGCTTCCCTCTTTGTGACACGGGCCTGTTCTAAAATCACAGATTTCAATTGCTTCTGAATCGCACTTTCTGTCTGGACATACACGTGTCCAGGTTAGAATATGGAGGCAAAAAGCGTGTGTCACCTCCCCCACATCCCACCCCCCGCAAAGACCATCACCCAAGTGCACTACCCAGAGCCTTCTCTCCCAGGTGCCAAAGTGTCATGGATGTCGCCCCCTCCCCTCAATGTGTCAATCAACACTGTGGTCAGCTTTGTACAGTCACCGCTCTGGGAGGCCTGGTTGTGACTGCTTCGCCACGCGGAAGTTTCTAGAAGCTGTGTTGCTCCGTTCCCACATGAAAAAAGTCCGACTTCAAGCACTCCCTGAACTGCTAGGGAACTGCAGCCGATCTTCTCTGAGCCAGTCGCCGCTTGATTACCCATAAGGCCTTATTGCTGACACCCAGGTTCAGATTGCTTTGGCTCCAGCCGGCCCAGGAGACTCTTCTCCCTCCCAGGCGTCTGTCATCACTCACTGCCCACGCTCCCCTCACTGCGTCTCCTCTCAGGCCCTGCACTGAAATCCTAGCCTTTGTGGGGACTTCAACAATGCCCCAAGCCCTTGGTACTTTTTCCTACTTTGAATTTCTATTCTTCTTCTTTCCAAACCCCCACTGTCTGAGAGCTAAGGGATGCACTCCTGGGATTTTTCGGGTCCCCCTCATGCTCTTATTCTCTCTCCCTCGCTTCCTGCCCGCTCCCCTCTCTCTCAGGATGTGTCCGTGGATATTGGTGTGTACAGGACATGTGTGAGCGCTGCCGTGTGTGAGCGCTGCTGGCAGGCCGCGGATCTCCAGAGAAAGTCCAGAGAACAATGGCAAGCGTTAGTCCTAGCTTTCTCAGTTTGTTTTTGGATCTCCTGTTGCCACTGAGCCAGCCAGCCCAGGTAGCCTGAAAGCTGCCTGGGACTCCCCTGCATCGTCCCATCCAGCTTCACGTGGGTTCTGGAGATCCAAACACAAGTCCCCACGCCTGCAAATAAGGGCTTTACCCGCTGAGCCATTACCCCAGGCCCAGCCACATTTAAACAGGAGGAACAGGTTAGACTAGCTTCAATAGCACTAATCACCTAATAGTCACAAAAAATCAGCATTTCTGCATATAATCAACGTAAAAACTTCAATTCCTACATAAGATCCTCGGTGCTCCTTCGTGTTGAATACCCTGAGTCTCTTAGAGTCCTCGGTTGGGACCGCATTTCTTTCAGGGTCTAAAAGCCCCTGGTAAGTAGTGGCTACCCTCCTGGACAGCAAGGGTAGAGACCACTTACATGGGCCTTTTACTCCCTTCCCTATTTAGAGTGTGGGTCACTTTGGTTTTCCTGTCCTTATTGTTACATTTTAACTGTTGAGTGCTGCTGTACAAAATGGGGGCGTCTTCTCTGTCTCCTTATGACTCCCCGGGTTGTTCTTGAGACCCCTTATTAAAACTTTTCGGAAATTGCTGCGCGTCCCCATTGCTTGTGCACTACAGTTTGCAATCACTATTCATCCTATCAAAACTCAAATCTGAAGTAACCGCCTCGAGCTGCCAATAGCATCCCCGCTCTATGTTCAAATGAATGTGTTTATGAAGAGCAAGAATGTCTTCCAACCTCAAAGCACAGGGAGAGGCGTGGCTTCGGGGTTTCTTTGGAGGCGGGGTCTCGAGTAACCAAGGCTGGCCTCAAATCCCTAGGTAATAGGACCCACTTCCTAATCCTCCAGCCTGTCTCCCAAGCAGGGATTCCACTCTATGCCGCCTCTCCCGTTGAGATTTGCATCCTTTAATGTCTGCCCTGAGAAGGACAGTTAGATGTTCATATCTTTTCTTGCAGTTGTAAAATAGGATGTCGGTTGAGCTAGTTGAGGAAAATCCAGAC